TGTGAGGCCCAAATCCAAGCATTTGTGTTGGGAGAGGCAGAAAAAAGGTTGGCATTTGTGGGTGTGGTAGGAAAGCATGTTGTCAATAGCTGATTTAGTCCTTGGTTTCTAATTTTCTCGTGTTGTGGCAGTTATCCTGTACAGCAGGGTAAACTTAACCCATGGAGACTTTGGCTTTCCTAAATGGTCATAAACTGGGAAAAAAATGTACTGGAATGAACCAGTGTGTGAATGATTGTGTGTTTGTGAACAAAATGACCTGGCAAACCAGTACATCGTAAGTCATTTTGCTAAAATAATCCTTCTAGCCTTGCAAATCACCCAAGTTCTGCATGTGTCTCTGGGGCACTAATAGCATCCACAAGTGAAACAGTGGTTTTGGGACTGCCGATAAAGGAACAAATAACACTTTAATTAACTGAGAACACTGTTGCCCTGCCTATGTTGCAATGAAAGGCGAGCTGCAAACACCTATGAAAACAGCACTATTGTGCCCTACTACCAAAGTTCTCTTGTCCATCACCCTTTAAATATTTTAGTCTGAGATTCTCTAAAGGCTGTCTCTGCTGCTCTTACTCTTTGGATGTAAACAGATTTGTTAAATATTTTATTTCTAACCCACCCACGAAGTTACATTCATTTATATAACGTAATGAAGGCTGCATTATTCATTGAACTTCTCATATAACATTTTTCATAAGACATTATTAAACAAGTGAAGCAAGCCAGTCTAGTAATGAGTCTTTTCTAAACTTGCTGCCAGTTGTGTTTCCTTTCTCCTAATCTATCTCTCTAATGGTTGCAACTAATAAACTTTTTGAATCTTTGCTGCTAATCTGTATATGTTTTGCATTGCATGCTGGATGTATAACTTGACAGAGAATTTACAATACAAACCACCTGGCAAACAAAACTATCTAGATTAACAAATGCCATCCGAACCTACCCACTCTTTTTTGTTATAATAGAGAAGATGACTACATGTAACACAGTACCTTTAAGCCATAGATAAAGTAACAAATTCGGGGCTGGAACATACCCTACCGAGCAGTATGTCCCAAACACAAGATTTGTGACAATCTTTTATAATTTCAAAAACATTGCCAGAAGCCAATAGATCAAAGTCTAGTTTACAGGAATGTTCAGCAGAGACAGTCTTCTACAGGGTCCTGTAGTCTTGTCCAGGATCCTATTCGACTGTTTTAGGGGAGATGGTGTATAACAATTTTAAGGTAAAGAAATTCTGAAATGGGTTGTGTGCACTTGGGCTACTTAATCTGTGTTTGGGACTAAGTCAAAAGTACTTGGATTTTCAGGGAGCCTGAGCAGTGCAGCTCCCTTTCAGATAGAAAGGAATACTTGAATATTTCTATTTAATGAAAATAAATTCTAATACTAAAAAAAAAAAAAGATCTAGGGGTCTAATATTATGCACATTAGTTTTAAATTACGGGGGCATATTCTTTTATCAGCATCCACCTTGAACACCTCTCCCGATATGTAGAAGTAACAAAAACCAGCAGCATTCTCTTTTCAATGATGACTAGACACAGACTTGAAAAAACTGTTTTAAAAACTTCCTAGAGCACTTAGGAAACTACGACTTGAAAGTCAAGGATGGAATATTTTACGTATTGTTAAATATTTTTCTTGCTACCTCTCCAAAGGTTATTCTAAATGAATGTCCAGAATAAAACAAGAAAACATATGCCAGCTTGAAATGGGATAGAAAGAAGAGCATCTTTTTGTCAGCCTCTCATCCTGCAAGGTCTGGGAAGAGACTGCTATAGTAAAGGAATAAAATAAAACGTCAGAAAAGTAAAAGTGCAAAACCTTAAGCATACAAGGCTTCAAATCATACTGTGTCTTCCACAGGTGCTTTAATGTACCAAAAGGAAAGAAATCCTTTTTCAGCTCAACTGCTGAAAGTAACACAAAAGTAACATGTCCTCATTTCACTAAGACAAAATAAATAATTCTGATTAAGTGATTTTTAATCAAACAATATTTTTTGTTTCCAATGAGTCTTCAGCATTCATTTGCACATTTTTCTTACTCATGTAACCATTTTAAAGAGTCACTATTACCTGTTCTGACCTTATCTGGACTACTATTGCCTTTCAGTCAGGAAATGACTGATCAGGTAGCACTCCTCAATGTCAGTTTACACCAATGCCACTCTTTAAGCTCATTTTCAGTCAAGAATGGATACAACTGCATGTTGTTACAAAGAATCCCACATTAAGCATCACATAGAGACTTCAGAAATCCTAAGCACCGCAGATGCTACTGCCTAGCAGGAGCTATCATTCACGTGGGTTTAGGAGAAGTGTAGGTCCCAGTTACCTACCTTACCCTCAGAGAAGAGACAGCATGCTACAAATGAAGCACGGCTATTTACCCCGGAACCAAAGCATAGCACTTACTGAATCATATGCATTTTTTTTGAGATAGAGACCTAGTCAAAGATTTTTCTTTGAAATGACAGGTTAACTAAGAGGAAGAATACAAAATACCCCAGAAATGCCCAGTTACAAGAAGGGAGTGAGCGCTCTCCACCAAATCTGGCCTATTAACATGCCTGAGTGCGTGAGCTTTGGAGCACCAGTCACTTCCCCATGGTGACACTTGCAAAGCCAAAGCTAGAGCATGGCTCTAGGAGCTACCTGCTAGCAGTGGTGCAGAACGAAGCAGCTGCGTCCTCTCCCTGCCTTCTGTCTCCACCACAGCACTGAAGCACAAACCACTGCTCATGCAGTGAGCTGGAGTGAGGACCTGGTCTGCCTGAAAACAACAGGTGTTCCAGTAGATAACTTTTCAGCAAGATCAGTTCCTAGATCCAACATAGTAAGAGGAGTAGGGCCTGGGGGTGTAGAGGCTGGGCAGCCCCTAAATAGCAGACACAGTCTCAGCCAGTGCCCACACCAGGCGCTGCTGAGCAGGCAATGCTACCTAATCATACCAGAGCTCACCTGAAACTGGTCTGCAGCCAGCATATGAGCTCTCAAGATACAGCTGCGTGGAGGAGATTAGCAGGGGTTGTAAAACCTGCTCAAGAAGTTGGGCAAATATTTTAGCAATTAACCCACACTGAGCTCCATGTTACTGCAGGCACGCTGCTACCACTTCTTGGGATAGCTTGTTTAAGGCTAACTCCAAGATGCCTAAATGACACAGCAATGACAGACCATTTAACTACAGAGATAAATTATACAGGGGCAGTGCCTAACATAGGTTATGTTGTCATGATTTACAACAGCTGAGGATGTGCCCCCAGATGTCCAGACAAAATCAAATTAACGATATGATTTTTTTCTCCAAACATAGAAGTCTTGCAAACTTGACTCAAAAATAAAAAAGGAAACAGAGAAATGCATGTATGACCTTAGACTTACACTGTGAAAATGTTCGTACTTTTCAGACAGCACTTGGATTCCCATTCTTTATAAAAACAAAATATAAACTAAAATAATATGAAGACCATGCAGAAAGTTCCCACATATAAAAGACTTGAATTAAAAATAAACAAAGCATTTGAAGACTATCAGCATCTATTTGGATTTGCAGAATGCTGTAATATTAAGGAAGAAAATGTTAACAAGGGATACCAAGACAAGAGTCTTGCTGTTCTCCAGGCTTCAGATCACCTCCAAGTCAGGAGCAGGGTTGCAATTTTCTGCCACTATATTGGTAATAAAGGAGTCTTAAACTGAGATTATGCATCAAATCCCTGAAAACCATAATGGTACAAGAGGTTTGCAGTAGTAAAAATTATTTAAGATTTTAAGCATTGCCAAGAAGACTCAGGCACAATCTAGAAAAAATATCTTTTGTATTTTAAGACTACACGAAATGGAATACGAACAAGTCTTGATAGTTATGCTCATATGCAGGTTGAATCATCTAAAGTCTTACATTAGAAGCTTACATATATAAAATGCTAGCTGAAAACACATCAAATGTATTGTAGAAACACTTAAAAAAAAATCCAGAACTTCACAGATTCTATTAAACACCTGCAGCAATTTTGAGCAACTTAACTCCATCCTTATTTTTGACCTTGGGAGAACATAATGAAAAAGAGATTGTTTTCCAGGAGCAAACAAAAAATTAAACTAGTCTATATGGCGCTGTAAGTGTTCATGACACTGAATTACATTGGTTTACTTTGTAGATGTTAATAGAGCCAGCCTATGTTGTTTGACTTTTAAGGGAAGACTAATAGGTGTAGTAAGGGGGGGGCAGGGGGGAAGAGCATAAAAAACCTTATGGTCAAGCCAAAACAGGGGTCATGCCTAGGGCATTTTATCTGCCCTGCTTACACACCCCCAGGGAATTGCATCTCAACAGTTGATTCCCTGTTAATCAATTCACATTAGTGCCTGCCTTTTAGTTTTCCCTTTGCTGAATTCCAGGAAAGAAGTTCTTAAACCAAATGCATGCTCTGTCTCTGACCCAGTCAGCGTTGCTGCATTTCAAGAAGAAATCACAGCAGATTTTATTTGCTCTGCCAGCTGACAAGAGACACCTTCATAAGTAAAGCTCCATAGCCAGCAGACTCAACACAGAAGATCCAGTGGTCTGTTTATACAAGTCAGCAGTAATATGGAAGGAGAGGACCTTTATGGAATTTTTTTCCTCAGCCTATTTCTTCTAGCTACAGCGAAAGAGTCATCTTACACATTATTATTCTGCTTCCCTTTACTTTCTTACTTACTATGGCTCAAGATTATGTGCTTGATAAGGAGACCTGTAGGACTTGGTATCACTCCATACTGTTTTCGGCAAGTGTGTTTGTTTTCGCACTGCTCTTGCCACTTACATGGTAAAATTTTAAAAAATTTACTATTCACAAGTGAGAATCACATTTGGGGTGGGAGGCAGGGGAGAGTTATGAGCACAGAAATAGCAAATAGCTCATTCACACAAGCAGATCCAACTTCACATCCAAACCCTTTACACCCATTGATTAAGGTACTCTCTAGCATACACGCAGAGGATCATCAAAAATAAACTTTATTATCAAACTTAAAATTCACACATTAAACATAATATCTAGACAAAAATAATACTGAAAACATTCTCAAACAATAACCATTTTAGGTAATTTGGATGAGTAGCTAGTTACCACTGTTTCAAATGCCTTTAAGAATAATTCTTAATACATACACCATCGTGAAATGTCTTCAAATGCTTAGCTGGCCAGCGTTCAGTAAGACTTTTAAATAGGGGAAAACTTATTTCTATAGAAATAACATTATCTAATTATGAATCAGAGACCCATAATTGTAGTGCTTGGGGAAAAAAAATATCATAGCCTTCTGAAATATTTAGAAGACATAAATAACTACTGTACATTTACAAGTTTAAATATTTAAAGGCCTTTGTTACTACAAAAAGTTGCTATGTACATAATTAGATGCTATCTAGAAATCCAGCTGAGGCAAGCATTGAGCTCTCAGATTTGGCCACTGAAACCTATGAATTTGGTAGGCAGATTGTCCACAGGGTACACTATGGGGCCCGTTTTCATTGTAGGAGGTCCATTCAGCAGCTGCCAGTCACAGCTCCGAGCCAACTCCACTGTAAATATTTTTAGAAGGACTTTTGCAAACTCTTTGCCCACGCAGCTCCTCAAGCCCCCACCGAAAGGAATGAAACTGAACCTAGAAGAATCCTCTGGAGATGGAGACATGAAGCGATCCGGGTTGAATTCCTCCTTGTTGGTAAAGAGATCTGCCACATCGTGGGTATCGCAGATACTGTAAATAACATTCCAACCTTTAGGGATCTGGTAACCCTGTCAAAAGAAGAGAAAGGAGACGTGAAGCACCCTGTTGCATTAAATAAGGCTAAGTGTCAGCACAGGGCACCCCATCTCCCCTCCTGGCTTCCTGCAGGTCCCTCTAAGGCAGACAGGCTACGGGCACACACGCGTACTTTGCGGCTGCACTGAGTCAAGCCCAAGCCCCGCTTACATTTAGCTCAAGAGTCTTGAGTGCAATTCGAAATCCTCCAGGAACAGGAGGGCTCAGCCTGAGGGTCTCTTTGATGACACAGCTCGTGTACTTCAGCTGCTCCAAGACCTCCATGTCCAGCTGCTTCTCTTGGTTGGGACTGCACAGTAACCCCTAGAAAGGAAGATGCTGCCATGACTTTTATGGAGCAGGCAGCCAGGGCCCCAGCAAGGCAAAGCAGCTGCCCCTCAGCGAGTAGCATTTCCCTGCCACCCCCTAAAAGAAGGGCACCACCTGGGTGGAGGAGAGCCCTGTCTGGGACACCTCTCCTGGAGGTGCCTTCCCCCTGCCCACTCCTGTGAAATGGCTCTGGGGAGACACACACCTTCACCTGCAGCTCTTTCCTCACTTTCTGCAGGACATCGTGGTGGAGCCCTAGGAAGGCGATCAACGACGTGGCAGCGCTAGCAGTGGTTTCATGGCCTCCAAACAGCAGCTCTGTGGCAGACTCCTTCAGCTCCTTAAACACAGGACAGAGGAACACAAAACAGGTCTTGAATATAACATCACCTCCACCAGGTCCACTCCACCACCAGGTCACTCCGCATCCCTCCCAGGCTGGCGTGGACACCCATGGGCCAGGACGGGGGTGGTGCTTATGCTCCCTGAGGACATGGCCATGGTCCTGTGCTCCCCATCCAACAGCCCGGCTGCAGCTTCTGCACCCCCGTGCGCTACACGAGCTGAGTTACTGCATGGGGAGAGGGAGTGAGCCTCCCGCTCTCTCCTTTTGGCCCCAAAAGATAAGCATGCTGCCGCCAGAGGGGCTGGGGAAAGGGACAGATCTGGCCCTGGGCAACCTCACCTGCATGTTGAGCTGCTCCCCGTTGCCCTGCGTGTGCTCCATCAGCAGCTGCAGCGCGTCCTTGTAGCCACCCTCTGGCTCCTTGCGGGCCATCTTGGCACGGATGTTCTCCTCAATCTTGGCGTGGATGATGTTGCGTGCCCGCAGGCCCTAGCCAGGCAGCAGGGAGAGCGACGTGGGACTTGGGCAACCACTGCCATCCCTCCCGTCCCTTCCCTGCTGCCCTGGCTGCAGGGGCACCCCTCTCCTCCCAGCCCTCCAGGAGCCTTACCCGGTAGAGCCCGCTGAAGGGCACGTCGATGGGGAGGGAGAAGAGGTTGCGGATCATCTCCTCGAAGGCCTCCACCAGCTGCTGCTCGCCGTCGGGGCTGGCCTGGCGGGGCTGGAAGCCCAGCAGGATCCTCATGGCGATGCGGAACATGAGGCGCTTCACCTCGGGGTACACCAGCAGGCAG